GGCCCCCGGGGGGGCCCCCGGGGGGGCCCCCCGGGGGGCCCCCCGGCAGGACCCGGCGCGCCGGCAGGGGGGGGCCCCCCAAGAAGACGCCGGGGGGGCCTCCTGCGGCGGGGACGGACGCTAAGGAAGGCAATACACATTATGTTTTGGATTTAATTGATTAAAATGAGTCAAAATGACAAAAAGGAGCTTTAAAGAAGAAAAGAAGGTGTCGGAGCTGTGCTGCCGCCTCCGGTGTACAACCAGGTGCCACGCAGCCAAGCCGTCCGCAACGGAGGAAACAAAATATGTTTTCGGCTAATAAGCGCTAAAATTTGCGATAAAATTAAAAATAAAAATAAAAATAAAAGTGACAAAAAAACGAGGCGAAATTGCCAAAGATAGCCGCGCGTGCTAACCTGAGCTGTCTATACACCCGAACACGCCTGTGTGTGGCAGCGGCGGGGCCCCCCAGCAGGGGCTCTTTCGGGGTCCAATGGGGGTTTTTTAGCGCTGAAAAAAGGCAATTTGAGTTCAAAATAAGAAGGGAAAGGCTTTAAATATCATTTAAATTCAGTTAAAACAACAAAAAACCCCAAACAGCTCCGTAGCCGCCACGCAGTGTCACCCGCGCTGCCCGCGCTGCAGTTCCCGGGGGAATAGGGGGCTAGAAATTTCGCGTTTTCCCCCTTTTTCCCTTTTATTTCTTTAATTAATTAATTTTAAATTGAATTTAACTCAAGAAGTCCTATTATTACCGAGCTGGAGGCCCCGCCGCCGGCGAAAGACTCAGCACGGCTAACTGCAGCACCCGGGGCCCCACAGTTGCTGCTGCTGCTGCCAGCTGCTGCTCCCTCAGCAGCAAAAAAACTGCTGCTGCTTCTTCTTTCTCTCTTGGGGCATCACGCGGACTGCAGGGACCCCTGAGCCCCAGCAGCCGCAAACCCTAAACCCTAAACCCTAAACCCTAAACCCTCAAGAAGGGGCCCAGCAAATGGATTCGCACTACCACAGGTATGAAGACAACCGCACCCTCAGCCCTGCGGGGCTGCAGATGGTTGAGCAGCAGCGACAGCAGCAGCAGCAGCAAGAGCAGCAGCAGCAGCAGCAGCAGCAGCAGCAGCCTGAAGTGTACCCCTTTTGCGTGGCTTATTCGCCAGAGGCCCCTGCGCGTTCTTGGGGCCGGTTTGGGGAGGGCGGAGCAGCAGCAGCAGCAGCAGCAGCAGCAGCAGCAGCATCGCTGCAGCAGCAGCTGAAGGAGAGCTCGCTGGGCCGGCTGCTGCTGCTGCTTGCGGTCTTTGGTTTCGCGCTGCTGCTGCTGCTGCATGCGCAGCAGCAGCAGCAGCAGCCGCAGACCCTCGCAGCTAATTTGAGCGCAGCAGCAGCAGCAGATTCTGTCTGCAGCAAAGGTATGCCACACAACTTTATTTGTTTTTCTTTATTTTTTTAACTTGTTAATTTCTCCTTTTTAGTTGAATTTATTTATTTATTTATTTATTTATTTATTTATTTTTTAATTTACGAATTATTAATTACTCAAACTCCACAAATTCCCCATTTCCGATTCTTTTCTCTCACTTCTTTTTCCCGAATTTCCAACAAATTAAAACAAACAACCAAATTAATTAATTAATTAACTTATTTATTTATTTATTTATTTATTTGTTTATTTACTTGTTGTTTTGCAGATTACCGGGACAAGACTTTGAAGCTCTCGCAAGAAGCTGCAGTCTCTTCTTTTCTTTTGTCTCCTTCTCCTCAGTTCGAAGCCAGCGACATTATTGTCTCCAAAGAAAAGGCCCTTTACTTCGTCAGAATCCACTTCTTTTTCACTTTTTTTAAACTTTTTTTAACTCATTTTTAACGCTTTTTTAACTCCTTTTTAACTTCTTTTTGACCTCTTTTTGACTTCTTTTTGACTTCTTTTGGATTCTTTTTCGACTCCCTTTTAACTGTTTTTTAACTCTCAAAAAGAAGTTTTTTGAGAGTTAACTTCTTTTTGACTTCTTTTTGACTTTTTTTAGCTTTCTTCTAACTTTTTAAACTCCTTTTTGGCTCTTTTTTACTCTTTTTTAGCTTCTTTTTAACTTGTTTTTAACTTATTTTTAACTCTCTTTTGACTCATTTTTAACTCCTTTCTAACTCCTTTTTAACTCTCTTTTAATTCTTTAACTCCTTTTTCAACTCCTTTTTAACTTCTTTTTAACTTCTTTTTGACAACTTTTTGACAATTTTTTGACAATTTTTTGACAATTTTTAAGTTTGTTTTTGGCAACTTTTTGGCAAATTTTTTGTCCCTCTTCTGTCTCCTTTTAGTCTCCCTTTTAACTTCTTTGTAGCTGCTTTTTAGCAACTTTTTGACAACCTTTTAACTTCATTTTGACAACTTTTTGGCAACTTTTTGGCAAATTTTTTATTTCTTTTCTGTCTCCTTTTTTGCTCCTTTTTGTCCCTTTTTTTCCCCTTTTTGTCGCCTTTTCTACTCCCTTTTAACTTCTTTTCAGCAACTTTTTGAAAACCTTTTGAAAACGTGTTACCAACTTTTCGTCTCCTTTTTGTCTCTTTTTTGTCTCCTTTTCGTTTCTTTTGTCTCTTTTAAAACCGATTTATCATTCGTTCTCTCTTTAATCTCCTTTTATCTCTTTTAATCTTTTTGGTCTCTTTTTTTGTCTTTTTTGTCTCTTTTTTGCCGCATTTGTGTCTCTTTTTGTCTCTTTTTTGTACTCTTTTTGTCTCTTTTTTGTCTCTTTTTTGTCTCTTTTTTGTCTCTTTTTGTCTCTTGAAAAGCTTATTTGCCCTGCACACCACTTCCATTCCATCCTCAACATTCTTGAGTCTCTTTTATCTCTTTTAATTTTTTTTTAATTTCTTTTAATTTCTTTTTATTTCTTGTTTGAAAAAATTAATTTCTTTTCAGGTTTGCGACTCTTCTTTTTCTCTGATGGAAGCCGCTTTTCCCCTTTCTCCTTCTTCCCCCAAAAACAGACTCATCGGCGACCCAGTAAGGCCCTCTTTTTATCTTTTTTGCCTTTTTTTTGTTTTTTTGCTTCTCTTTTTCTCTTTTTGAAGAATATTTTTCTCTCTTTTTGTCTCTTTTTTGTCTCCGTTTTAAAGTCTCTTTTGTCTCTCTTTTGCGGTCTCTTCATTGCCCCTTTTTATCTCTTTTTGACGCATTTTTAGCTTCTCTTTGTTTTTCTTTTTTTAGATTTTTGGGAATTTTGGGAGCTTTTTGTCTTTTTCTCTCTTTTTGTCTCCTTTCTAAAGTCTCTTTTGTCTCCTTTTTGCAACCTTTTTATTGCCTCTTTTTTGCCTTTTTTCCATTCCCTTTTTTGTCTCTTTCTGTTTCTTTCGTGAGATTTCTTTGTCTCCTTTTGTCCCCTTTTGTCTCCTTTTTAAACTCATTTTGTATCTTTTTTGTCTCTTTTTCGAAGTCTTTTTGTCTCTTTTTTCTTTTTTAAAATTTCTTTTATCTCTTTTTTGTCTCCTTTTGTTTCTTTTCTAAAGTTCCTTTTGTCTTTTTTTGTCTCCTTTTTGCTTCTGCTGTTAATTTCTTTGCTGCTGCTGCTGCTGCTGTTGCTGCTGTTAGTTTCTTTGCTGCTGCTGCTGCTGTTGCTGCTGTTAGTTTCTTTGCTGCTGCTGCTACTGCGAATGCTAGTTTCTTTGTTGGTGCTGCTGCCGGCGTTAGTTTTTTTTTTTGTTGCTTCTGCTGTTGTTAATTTCTTCACTGCTGCTGCTGATGCTATTAGTTTCCTTACTGCTGCTGCTGCTGCTGTTAGTTTAGTTTCTTTGCTGCTGCTGCTGCTGCTGCTGCTGCTGCAGGAGAGGAACGGGAGTAACGAATCCGATTGGGAGGCTTTGTGGCGTGACGAAGAAGTGAGAGCTAAACCCTAAACCCTTAACCCTAAACCCTAAACCCTAAACCCTTGGCCACACAACTCGGAAGGAGCAGCAGCACGCAGTAGCAAACAGGCATCTGGGCTCTTAAAACTGCGTAGGCGATAGGGTTTAGGGTTTAGGATTTAGGGTTTAGGGTTTAGGGTTTATGTGCTGCAGCAAGGCATCTTTTATATCGTTAGAGAAGCAGTAACACACAACCCCCAACAAGAGGATGCAGAAACAGCCCCAGAAACAGAGGAGCAGCAGCAGCAGCAGCAGCAACAGCAGCAGCAGCAGCAGCAGGGCAGCAGCAAACCCTTCCATGCGCACATAGAAGAAATAACGCTAAACGGAGACTCATACGATCTCAAAACATCTTGCAAAACTGGTGGGCTTCATACACTAGACCCTAAACCCTAAACCCTAGCTGCGCAGGAGCACGTCACAGACTGCAGTGTTTTGCCCCTAAACTCTAAAATTAGCGAAGCAGCAGAACCGAGCCGCAAACCTTAAACCCTAAACCCTAAACCCTAAACCCTAAACCCTTCTGCTGTGCGGCTGCAGAGTTCTCCTTCTCCGCCGGCAACAAAGGATTCGAGGTCCGTTAGGGTTTAGGGTTTAGGGTTTAGGGTTTAGGGCTTCAGATAGGCTCCTTCTGGAGTCACTGTGTACAATGCTGTTCTTGAGAATCCGTATTCGGGCGAGGGTTTAGGGTCTAGGGTTTAGGGTTTAGGGTTTGCCTTGCGCAGGGCCTCATAGGGTTTCACGGCCCTAACGACGAAGTCTATCTCCTTGGTAGGCTTCGAAAGCGCTCTGGGGTTTAGGGTTTAGGGTTTAGGGTTTAGGGTTTGGGGTTTAGGGCTTGTGCATGAATCATAAAAAACGGTGTGCATGCCAGCATGTGTCTGGACACAAGAAGCACCAACACCCCCTCGTTTATATATTTATTTACATATTTATTCATTCATTTATTTATTTATTATTATTATTATTATTTTTTTTGAAATCATTTATTTGATTGTTTATTTTTTCATTTCTCAGGTTTATGCGAGGGCAATTTCTGCGAAGGAGGAAAACGAGGAAAGAAAAGAGGTGAGCTGCGCATACACCCGAAAGCGCCGCGGTGTACGTACACCTGGACGCGCTGGGATGTACGTACACCTCATTTTTGTCTTTTGCAGAAAGGCAGCGGGCGTTGCGGTGTACGTACACCCGAGTGCATGCAGCTGCTGCCTTCAGGTAATGGCCGAATGGTTTTGATGCGAAAAGAGACCGACGGAAAACACTGCATTTGGAAAACTGTCAAGGTACCATAAATCCTAAACCCTAAACCCTAAACCCTAAGCCTAAACGCTAAACCCCAAAGTGGGAGTCCTAAATCCCTCCCCAGGACCACAGGCTCTCTTCTCGTTTACATGCACGCATGCATCCGCGCATGCATGCATGCATCCGCGCATGCATGCATGCATACACGCATGCATGCATGCACGCATGCATGCGTGCATACAGACATGCATGCATGCATGCATGCATGAATGTTCGGAGCTGCCGCGGCTGCCGCTGCGCAGGTGTTGTCTCTGCCTGAAGAAATAAACTTCACGGATTATTCTTCAGTGACAATAAGAGGCACAAAAATAATAATTGCTTCTCAAGAAGACTCGCGAGTGTGGCTGGGGAGAGTCAAAACAACAGCAGATGCAGCAGCAGCAGCGGCAGCAGAAAAAGAAGAAATAAAAGAAAAAAATGACAAAAACGAAGACAAGCCTTCCATGCATGCATACGGAACCACAAGACTTGAAGACCCCCAGGCCCTCGAAGTGCTGCCGGGTCAGTCGGGGTTTCTGGGGCTTTTCAATCTGCGCGCATGCATGCATGCATGTATGCATGCATGCACTTAAGACTTAATCCAGCTAGCTAGCTAGCTAGCTAGCTACCTAGCTAGCTAGCTAGCTAGCTAGCTAGCTACGAGCTTAAGAAAGTTCTTTGTGGATGGCCCAGCGTCCGTTTGTCTCTACATGCATTTTTGGTTTTTGTTTCTTTCTGTGTTTCTCTTTCGTTCAACTTTGAGGCATTTTTGCCTATTTGTCTATTTGTTTCTCATTTCTGTTTGTAATTGCACTATTTATCGTAATTTCTTTCATTATTATTCGTTTGTTTACTCCTTTTCGTGAGAAATTCCCATTCAGTCGGGTGTAGACTCGCGGGTCCTGTTCAGGTGTACGTACACCTCAACGCATTGAGGTGTATGTACACCTCAATGCGTCGAGGTGTATGCGCACCCGTTCACTCGACGAGTTCCGTGTGTTTGTTCCTGTAATTAATTAGTTCATTATTTATTTATTATTTATTTATTATTTATTATTATTTTATTTATTTTTTATTTGGTTTTTTGCTTCTTAGGAGGCCATGTGCTGCATTTCCCCCGCGGGGAAAACTGCGAAATAATTTACTGCAACATCGAGGGCGTGGCTTTTGTGTCAGACACAATTATTGCTGCTGGTCCGTAGCGCTTTATTATCTATTCAGTTACAATTATTTAATTTATTTGTTCTTTTAATTTATTTCTTCCTTATTTTATTTGTTTTAATTTGTTTATTTTATTTGCTTTTATTTTTGTTTTCCTTCTTCTGCGCCTCTGCATGGATGAGTGAATTTATTTATTCACTCGATCTGCCAATCTATTTGCTTGTCGGCTTCTTATCTAGTATTATTTATTTGTTTCGTAGTATCTAGTTGTCTACCATTTACTTATTATTACTTATCATTATCTATTTATTTATTTGTTTTGTTCTCCACCCATTACCGCTTTTGCCAGCTTTGCCTCTTACCGTTTGCCCTATGCGTGATTTTGAACATTTTCAATTTGCATTCCCAAATTAAGATGAATTAATTGGTAAATTTGTTTCTTTTGTTTATCTATTCGTTTTTTCCAATTAAAATGGTCAACTAAGTGTCGAATTTGATTGCAATTAATATTATCTATTTAATTTGAACTCAAAGGTTCATTTTATTTGTTGCAAATTCTTTTGCAGCTTCCGACAAAATGAAAAAGTGGCAAGACTACAGATGCCACTCGAAGGGAGAGTCCATTCATTTGTTTTCTTTGCCCGCGGGTTTGAAATATTAAAAAGATTAAAAAGGTCAAAAACAAATTAGTTGAATTTGTTGAACAATTCAACTAATGCAACAAGAAATAAACCCTCCAAAGCCATTTGTCAATTCAATTCACTCCGATGCATGCAGCCCCATTTTCTTTTCCGTCTCTTCTTTGGGCCTTTCCGCTTTATTCCATTTATTGCCATTTCCCTTCTTTTTCTTAGGGGTCCCGGGGGGCCCTTGCCTTTCTCAGGGCCCTTTGCGGGCCCCTGGGGGGCCCCCATTTGGGTCTAGGGGCCCCTCTAGGCGTCACTTTAGGGGCCCCTTTGGGGTCTGGGGCCCCTTCTAGGGGCCCCTAGAGGGGCCCCCGCAAAAGGGGTCTCTAAATGGGGCTTTGGGGCCCCACCTCTACAAAGACCTGCAGGGGGCCCCTCCCACAGCCGCGGGGGGCCCCTTAGGGCCTCGTGGGGGGCCCCTAGTTAGAAGCATCATGGAAGCCCCCACGGGGGCCCCTATAGAGTGAATTGGGGCAAAGTGGGCTGTGGGGTCAACGGACTGAACTTGGATTTGTCTTTTTCCTTCTCAATAAAAATGAATTTTTTAATTAGAAAAAGGAGAAGGGCCGGGGCAGCTGCAAATGCATTTGTTTCGAAATCTGGAAAAAACCCTAAACCCCCGGTTTCAAATAAATTAGATGTGTCTACAAATAACAACAAAGTTGCATTAGGAAGTTGCGGCATTGGCACTGGGGACAGTTAATTCGACTAAGTTTAAAATGGTCATTTTCGTGAAAAGAAGGGGCAGCAGCAAACGTGTGTGGAGCGCGTTCTGGGGGGGTTGGGCTAGGGTTTAGGGTTTAGGGTTTAGTGTTTAGGTGGCGGCGCCTCAGAGGGTCTCTGCGGCGACCGAAAGCGCCTTGAATGCGGAGAAAAGTCCCACAGGAAAAACTCTAGGAGTGTTTGGGGGTTTAAAATGGGAAAAGATTGCAGAAAGCAGCACGGAGTGTGGAGTCCGCGGCGTCAGTGCGTGGAATTTGGTGATTTTAGTTTGTTTAATTTGGCGGAAAGCGCGTCAAATTGCTTTTAAATTGATTTGAAATGAAGGAAAATTCATTCTGAGTCCCGCAGGACTGCTGAGTTTAGCGAAACGGCGAGAACTCGATGGTGGAGCTGGGGTGTACGTACACCTCGATGTCCAGGGCGGGTGGTCGACGGCGCTGCGCACCTTTGGAGGCTTTTTGTGCAGCATTTTTCAATTTATTTAGAAATTGGGACATTAAAAAGGGAAATTAAGAACATTTTACCCTGAAGAAGGGGAAAAATCTGGCGAACGACCGCGGGGGGCGGCTCCGTAGCTGCCTGGGGGCCCCTGCAGCAGCTGCTGCTGCTGCTGCTGCGGAGCATGCCCTCCAGAGGTCTGGTTGAGTAGAGTTAGCATTTCTTTGCTTTTTCCGCTGCGGCGTTTAAATACCTTTATTGGTTACGAGTTCTTTCTCAAAAAACGTGTTTTTTGTCACCCGTGGGTGGCTGCACTGCGGCTGCTGGTTGCAGCACAGCGGACACCGGCAACGCCGCAGCAGCAGCAGCTGCAGCAGCAAGCGCTGCAGCAGCAGCTGCAGGAGGGGAAGGAAGCGTTTCTGGATATTGTTGTTGCTGCGGGTAGCGCCAGCAGAGCGCGTTGTTGCAGCCTGAGCTGCGGCAGCCCCTGCGCACCCTCCCTTGTGTCCCGCTGCGCCTCTGTTGCTGCTGCTGCTGCGTTTGCTGCAGCAGCCGCTGCTGCTGCTGCTTGAAAAGCGGCGGCGATTCGCTTGAGCCGCAGCTGTTAGCCCAAGACAGCCGCGAACGCCGCCTTGCCGCCTTGCAGCAGCAGCAGCAGCGGCAGCAGCAGCGGGAGCGCGGGCGTGTGACCCCTCGTTGGGAAGGCGCTGAGCCGGAGTTTTTGATTTTGCTGCTGGCTGCGGTGTACGTACACTCCCCGCAGCAATGGCGCTCCTCGGAGTCCGCAAAAGAGTCGCTTACTTTTACGACCCCGACATCGGCTCTTACTACTACGGGCCCGGCCACCCCATGAAGCCCCAGCGCATCCGCATGGCCCACGCCCTGGTCCTTTCCTACGACTTGTACAAACACATGGTCTGCTGCTGCTGCTGCTGCTGCTGCTGCTGCTAGCTCCTTTCTGCTGCTGCTGCTGCTGCTGCTGCTGCTGCTAGCTTCTTTCTGGTGCTAGGTCCCTTCTGGTGCTAGCTCGTTTCCGCTGCTAGTTCCTTTCTGCTGC